CGGGTGCGGCCGCGCGCCCGCCCCTCCTCGATGCCCGCCCGCTCGCTCGCGCGCCATGACTGTGGGACGTGGTGCGGGGAGGAGGGACGGCAGCCGGGGGCCGCCCGGGGCTGCTCGGCATTGGTGCGGAAACCCGAGCCCGAGCGCTCCCTCGCGCTGTCTCCTCCTCCTGCTCTGCGGGGGAAACCGCTGCACCCAAAAGGAGAGCAGCTGCGAGCCGGGGGGCAGGGCGCGCGCTGCGAGGCGGGCTAGCCCGGGTTCGAACCCCGGTGGCGCAAGGAGCGGGGACAGCGCCTAGGTCCTACCCAGGCCGGGGGTCTAGAGCCCAGCCCGCGACCCCGACGTCTCCCAGCGGGAGCCCCAAGAGTTGAGCTAAACCGATCACTCGTGCCGGCTGGAGGCGTCGATCGCATGCAAGGCAGCGAGTATTTTTTTTTTTTTTTCTTTTTTGCACGAGGGAAAGTTACACCATTCTGTTTTCAGGGTGCAGGATCATTGCGCCCCACCCCCCAAATTCGCGCAGGATAAGCAAGCTGCTCCGGCGCTCCAGATCTCCGACACTGTCCCCCACCCCACCCTGCCCCCACTCGGTCTCCGGGTGTGGACAGGGCGGGGGAAGGCGATACGGGAGCTTAGAGCATGAGGTCATGGGCGGAGGAGGCTGCAGCCCTCGGCGGCCGAGGAGGGGTTTGTGTGTTTTGAGGGGTACCGGCTTTCCATCTTCTCCAGGGAGAAGCCCTCCCGCCTAGTCCTGCCAATTCTGGGGCGCCTGGACCAGGGAGCCCCCCGAAAGAGGAGGGGGCACCGCACTCATTGAGGGTCTGGCCAGTGCCCAGCCCTTGACGGAGCCCTGCCCCAAATGAAAGAAAGCCGGGGAACAGCGCGCAGGGTCGCTTCAGATCCTCGGTCATCTTCTGCAGCAGCCTCCACGGGGTCTTTCTGCCTCACCTAATTGCTCACCTTTAATCCCCCAAGCCCTCTCCGTGCTCTTAGAATAAAGTGCGTCCGAAGCCCTGCGTGGTATCGCCTCTGCGGACCTCTGCACTGCTCCCCCTCGTGCGCTGCAAGCTTTCTTTGTTGAGAGGGTTCGGGCTCCACACCCTTCCCCTACCACCTCTCACTAACTCCTGCTGGACCTTCAGGGTGTGACTCAGCTGTCACTCCCAGAAGCGTTTCTGCGTGCACACCCTCATCTCTAACTCCCTTAGGGGAAAAAGACCCACCCTCGTACTCCTGGCAGCGAGGCGGTGGCCGGAGCTGCCCTTTTCGAAGCCGAGGAGTAACAGCCGAGTTTGAGCGCCACCTCTGCCCAAGGGCCTGAGCACCTGAAAGGGAGTTGGCTTAGACAGAGCCTTAAACGCCGTTTCCTCTAAGGACCTGGGGAAAGCAGTACACCCGCTCCCCCCAGCACACACCCACACTCGCTAATGCCTAACCCGAGGAGGAGAGGGCTTTTAATCTAGCTCCTCCCTGGGACAGATAAGGAACCTGAGTAGATAAGGAATCTGAGGCTCAGAGAGGAAGTCAATTGCCCCGGGCCAATGCAGAAATTTACATCCTGGTCGTAGGGCGTCCAAACCGGAAGCTGCAGAGGATTTGAGATTTGGTTCCCCAGCTACAGCTCCTACACAGCCCGAGACACTTAGTCACCTTCAAAGCACCCGCCTACACGTTTAGACCCGTGGGTTCATTGCCAACAGAGAGGTAAGGTAAGTCGACCAGTTAGCGTAGGCTCTGACCTTGGGCTGCTTAACATCACCTGGTTCAGTTTCTTTGCCTGTGAAGTGGGATTGGTGGTATCTACAGGGTGATAGTGTTATTGGGAGATTTCAATTGGTTAATATTTATAGGCCTTAGAGCAGGTAGCTAGGCAAGCTCTTGATTATTTGTGAATGGAGTCATGTGTCTCCCCACCCACTTTCCCAGCACTCCAGAAAAGTGAGGTGCCTGCCCCGAGTCTTAACCGATTTGAGCAAGAATTATTTGTGGCCTAAAAGCCTGGGGACGTGCTGATAAATGCACAGATAATACAGAGACCTCATTTAGCCAATAAAATCAACTTTCAACTCTGGAAGACAATCCAAAGGGTGAGGAATGTAGTTCTGTGTACCCTGGTTCTGAACATTGAGAAAGAGGGTCAAAGGGAGGATGGCTGAGATTAAAATATTACTTTGCATCTCTGAAACACTAATCAGGCTGATACAGTCCCAGTCCTGAGACAAAACCCACACAACATGGTTGCCACTCTCCTAGGGCTCCACAAAATGTGAGGGGTTATTATCATCCGTAGATCTGGAGCTTCCCATTGCTGGCACCTTCCCTTCACTAAGCCCTTTTTAAATTTTATTTTCATTTTGAGATAGGATCTCATCACTGAATTGCCCAGGCTGGGCAAGGATTTGTGAGCCTCCTGCCTCAGCCTCCCAGAATGATGGGATTACGGATGTACACCACCACATACAGCTAGTAAAAGACTTTTTGAAAATATAATTTTATTTTTGGAATAGGCTTAATGCATTTGAGTGGTTTCGGATTCAAATCAACAACAAAAAGTCTCCTCCCACTCTGTCACCCGCCCCATTTTTCCCTCTATGGTGGCACTGAGGATTAGCAGTCCGAAGACTGTTCTACTCTTTGACCTGAGGCCTTGTGGGAGCTCCCTGGGTGCCTAGTTAACTCCTTATGTCCAAAGCTCCTTTCTCCAATCCAAGAAGAGCCGCCAAGCTGCTCCTACCCGACTCCTCAGCTCATTCTAACAGGCTTCACACACAAGGCGGAGCCCCAGTGTCAAAGTAGATGGTTAAACACACGGAGCTTCTTTCTCCTCCCCCACACTAGTAATCGCTAACATCCTCTAAATGCGTTCCGTGTGCCAGGCACGGTGCTACATGCTTAACGCAAATTCTCTGGTTTAATCTGCCTCCTAAGGTCACTATCCTTGCTCTAGAGAGACACAGGCAGAAAGGACGTTTCAGAGATTGCACAACTTGCACCAATTTGCAACCAGTCCAACCTGAACCCAAATCCTCGCTCTTAAATACTTGGCATTCTTGTTTTTCGCTCTCTGTCTCTCTCCACTTTTTCTCTCTGTACTTCCTTTCAAAAGTACACAAAAAAGATCTTAAAAGCATGCCGTGCCTCTGCAATGATTACGGGTAACTGGACATCTGTCCCCAAAAGCGCCACCTTTAGGTTATATTTTACCAAACTGAGACCAATCCAAGATGGATTTGAAAAGCCTGTTTTTTCTCCACATGTACGTGGAAGGATAGAAAAGACAAGGCCTCAAACTTAGTTGTATAATAAGAAGGGAATATGAAGAAAGGTCCCATCTAGCAATCTATAGCCTTTCTCTTTTCCCCTCAACTCTTACTGGTTATGAGTTTTTGCGTTCATTCTTGAGTGCTTGACCCTGTCACATCTCTGCAGCAAGGAAAAATCATAGTAGGTAGCAGAAGATGTGCCACTTCCAAAATGCCCAGAACCAGAGTCAGAGGCACTGGGTAAAATTCTCCTCTCCGCATCTCACCACTTCTGCCCTGTCCAGAACTGTGGCTGTAGGCCAGGTGTAGTGGTGCACGCCTATAATCCCAGCACTCAGGAGGCTGAGGCAGGAGGACCGTTGTGAGCTCGAGATCAGCCTGGGCACAAAGTGAGCTCAAGGCCAGTCTGAACTGCATAGCAAGACCCTGTCTCAAAAAGACAAAAAAAAAAGCAAATCAGAACTGTGACTCTCAGTCTCGCCTTTTGCACCTTGGATGAGAGACCTCTCGGGCCCCTTCCAGCTTCCAGCCTGGCCAGGCCACTGTGCTTCCTATCTCAGGAACAGATCAGAGCTGGATGGAAATGGAAATGTATCCAATTCATATCCAAAG